GGCAGTACTGGAAGATGCAGGCAGTACTGGAAGATGCAGGCAGCACTCCCAGTGCAGGCAGTACTGCAAGGTGCAGGCAGCACATGCAGTGCAGGCAGCATGGGGCAGCCCAGTGAGAAGCTGCACCACCCCAGCCCTGAGCTCCTTCTGGCCCCCATCCTGCCTCACCACTCCCTCCCCAGCCATGCCGTCCACACTCACAGCAGGTCCCCAGGGTCACCAGGGCCACCAACAGCAGCAGGCTGACTGCCAGAAGCCCCGCAGGGACACAGCACCGCCGGGACCAGTGCCCTGCAAGACACACCAGCAGCCACGAGTCACCCACGCTGCTGGGGGCAGTGGGGCCCCTGTCCCCATCCCCATCCCCATCCCTGTCCCCCTCCGGACACTTGCCTGGGCTGTGCTGGGTCCCTTCCCCTGCTGTCCCCACAGGTGCTGATCCCGGAACAACGTTCTCATAGGGGCTGTCTGTGTCGTCCATGCTGGCTGTGGGAGGAAGGGCGGGCAGCGATGGGTGATGATGCTGGCCATGTGGAGAGGTGTGAGGTCCCCATGACTCTTACCTGCCTCCAGCACCTGGCTGGTTGTGCCGTGGCCCCCTGGCCCCTTGGCGAATCTCAGGTCGGCGTAGAGCACGCTCTGGGCCATGGGGCTGCTGGTGGCTCTGTTCTGTGCTGTCCCTGCTGCAGCCACCTGTTGCAGGGTGCAAAGGAGAAGTGAGGTGGTGTTTGCAGAAAGCTGACACTGTGTGGCTGTGGAGGAAACAACGAGTCACAAGGACCTGTACCCTGTCATTGGCCCTGCAATGCCAGAACTTCCCCTCCCACACCGGAGAACTGTCACGGTCCCCTGGATTTCTTGTCATTTTGAGCCAAGCCATGAAGTGCAGCAGGGTGAGGGCAGAGACTCACTTCTTGCGTTGGAGTGAGGGTGAGAAAAGGTTTACTGCACAGGGCTGATCCTGCCCCATGTGGACATGGTCCCTTGCTGGGCTCTGTGGTAGGATCCGATAACTGTAATGAGTGGAAGCATTTTTCTTTCTATCCTTAAAAGGGATTTCCACACTGCATATAAAATTTGCGCATCTCATGACATCCAGGGACTCCCCAGGAAGAGTAGTGCTGGTGGCTCTCATTGTCCTGTTCCGACCAGCATTTCTCTCCATCTACCACTGGACACCACTCTCCTCTCTGCCAACAATGTGAGCAGGATATTTGGCCCAGGTCCTGAAGGGTCGTAATAAGTAGTCCCATTGCTGTCCCTTTAGAATCATAGGAATCACCTAGCCAAATGCTAATCCATCCCCACCGTGCTCACTGACCATGTCCTTCAGTACAACATCTCCACATTTCTTGGACCTTCGCCCCTCTGGGAAACCTCACTACCCCCCCTGTGAATACATTTTTCCTGATATCCAATCTGACCCTCCTCCATGCACCCCATCCCACCACTCTCATGGTGGCAGGCAGGAGAGTGGGACAGGTGGCACTTGTCCTTGGAAAATGTCACTCAGGTCCCCAGCCATCACTGTGTCCTCCCTGGGCACGGGTCACCCCATGCCCAGCAGGATGTGCTCCATCTTCATGGCGATGGGGTGGGAGCTAACGAAACTTCGTCTTTGCACATTGTGGTGGGAGGAGATCCATATTCCCTGATGCACGAAGGGAAAATGCACACCACGAGCACCTTCAGTCCCCCGTGGAGCATTCCTGGCACTCCTGTGCGCAGCTCTGCTTTGGTCCTTCCCAGCCTTCGGGTGCAGCCCTGCTGTGTCTGTACTCACACCCTGGGCTGCCCGATACTGTCATGTATGTGCCCAGGGGACTGTGAGCTCTCGGAGTGTGGGAGGGGGATGTGCTGGTGGTGCTGGGCCAATGGCAGGGTGCTGGTCCCCACGGCTGTGCCTCGCTGGTCCCATCTGCTGTGGTTCAGAGCCAAGTTCTGCTTCTGTAAGAGCTGGCCTCACTTCTCTTTTGTACACCAAGCCAGGGTGCAAAGACCACCCCAGAGAGTTGGGTGGAAGACAGCAGGACTCAGGGCTTGTCTGCATGGCCCAGGGAGTGCTCTACACTGACCTGAGGTTTGCCAAAGGGCCAAGGGGCCGTGGCACAGCCAGCCAGCCACTGGAAGCAGGTGAGAACCATGGGATCCTCACATCTCCCCATATAGCCAACATCATCACCTCATTGCTGTCCGACCTTCCTCCTACAGCCCTTGGTATGGATGAGGCTGAGAGTCCCCACGAGAACATCACACCAGAGCTGATGCCTGTGGGGACAGCAGGGGAAGGGGCCTGGCACAGTCCAGGTAAGTGCCTGGTTGGGATGGGGATGTGGGAGGTCATGATGTGGGCAGTGCATGTTGCTTCAGGGCACTTCCCATTCTCTCCTTGGAGAGAGGAAGAGCCCACATTGTGCCACCACGTTGCCACCATGCTGTCTGGGGCTGCCCAAGAAGTGACAGAGGGTGACGGATGGCCACTTGGTGTCTTGCAGGGTGCTGTTCCAGCCGGCGCTGTGTCCCTGTGGGGCTGGTGGCTGTCAGTCTACTGCTGCTGGTGGCCGCCATGGTGCTAGGGGCCTGCTGTGAGTGGGGACAGGTGGCATTGGGATATGGGGACGAGAGAGTGGTGAGGTAGGGGTGGGTGCCACAGACTATGCTCAAGAGCATGGAAGTAGGTTTGTCTGTCCCAGTTGCTCCAAGCTGCAACTTGTCCCTCGCACATCATGGGTATTTCCATTGGCTGCCATCAACCATACTCCTCGCTAGACTCCTCTTTCCTGCTCTCCTGCCCTGATCCTGCCCCAGCCTGCTCTGCTCCTACTCCAGCCCACCCTGCCAGATCCTGCCCAACTCAGTCCACATACTTCCCAGTCCTCCCCATCCATTCCCACTCTGCGGTCGCCCACTGCTCTGCTTGCCCCATGCCGAGCCCTTTGCCTCCCACCCAGGCTGCCCCATCCCCATGTCCCAGCTCACCCTCCCTGTCCCCAGACTGGCAGGTGACTCGCCAGCTACAGGACACATCCCTGGAGCAGGTGGCCGAGCGCGGCCGCTTCTCACAGGAGGTGCGGATGCGGGACCAGAGCCTGGAGCAGATGCGACAGGAGCTGGCACAAGTGCGAGAGGAGCTGCAGCAAGCATGGCAACAGGGCAACAATAGCCAGCAGGAGCTGGGCAGGTGGGAGGCCGAGCTGGCGTATGTCTCAGGGGCCCTGGCTGCAACCCAGAAGGAGCTGAACAGCGTGCAGGGAAGGCTGAATGCTAGTGAGAGCACCGTGACCCTGCTGCGCTCCTGCACGGCTATAGGTATGGCCATAGCCCCAGCATGCCTGTAGTATTGAAGTGTGGATGGTGGCTTTTTGGCCATGGGGTGGAGATGGGATGATTGAAAGGCTGAAGCTCTGCAGGAGATGGGGTTCTGCAGACGCCAGTGAGTGCCTGAGCTGATCTGTGCCCCTGTCTCTAGACTGCTGCCCCTCAGGCTGGCTGCTGTACCGGGGAAAGTGCCTCTTCATCTCAACGGACAAGAAGACGTGGGATGACAGCAGGGCAGAGTGCGAGGAGCAATACTCTCAGCTCCTGATCACCAAATCCTGGAGTCGCTGGACTGTGCCGGTAGGGAGTGAGAGCTGAGTGCCAGGGCATTGCAAAGCTGGGGGCATGCAACAACAAGGGGGCAGCACAAGAAAGATGTGGAACTCTCGGAGTGTGTCCAGAGGAGGGGCACTAAGATGATCAGAGGGCTGGAGCACCTCTCGTATGGAGAAAGGCTGAGAGAACTGGGCTTGTTCAGCTTGGAGAAAAGAAGGCTCCAGGGAGACCTTGTTGTGGCCGTACAATATTTAAAAGGAGAGTATAAACAGGAGGAGAAACGGCTGTTTACAAGGGTGGATAGTGATAAGACAAGGAAGAATGGTTTTAAACTAAGACAGGAGGTTTAGGTTGGATATTAGGAGGAAGTTCTTCACTCAGAGGGTGGTGGCGCACTGGAACAGGTTGCCCAAGGAGGCTGTGAATGCCCCATCCCTGCAGGCATTCAAGGCCAGGCTGGATGTGGCTCTGGGCAGCCTGGTCTTGTGGTTGGTGACCTGCACACAGCAGGGGGGTTGAAACTTCATGGTCGTTGTGGTCCATTTCAACCCAGGCCATTCTATGATTCTCTGAGTCTATAATTCTATGATTCTATGATTCCTGGAGCAGGTGTGGGGCTGGGATTGCTCGAGTTCTGCGGGAAGATAAAGGCTCTGCAGCCTCTAAATCCCATGGAAGTGTCAAAAGGCCCTTTTGCCCCTTCTCCAGAGCTTCCTGAAGAATGCAGACATCGCGTACTGGATCGGGCTGCAGAAGAGCAAGTACCCCTGGTACGAATATGACTGGCTGGAGGAAGAGCCAGACGGTGAAGGGCTGACAGACGCCTGGTTCTGGGTGGACGGCTCGCTTTATGAGAGGTACCCCGTGCTCACATCCCCCCTCCTCTGGTGAGGCTTGATGAAACACTTTACATCCCTTCAGTAGCCAATGTGTGAGTGCTGGGCTGAGACGCTCAGAGCCCATGCAACGGGAAAGCTGAACCTTGTGCCCATAGGATGTGGAGAGAAGGGACGAAGGAACCTGCACATTTTAGTGGGGTCTAAGCAAAATGGTTGAGCCCCATCCCTATCTCCCACACACCACCGTCGTCCTCCTGGAGGGGAAATCATCGCTCCCTCCCCATCACGTGTGCCACCAGCCTGGCTCACATCTGCTTCCTCTTGTGGTGTCTGAAACTAGTGAGGAGGAACAGCCCCGTCTGCTGAGCCCCTGCCTGCCCTTGCACTCCGAGCACACCGGGAGCACCTCTGGGGCGAGATGCTGCCGGTGTGGGGCAGCCCCACAGGTGCTCCTGCTATGTCCCCATGCAGACCTTGGCAGCCGAAGTCCAACGGGTCATGTGCCGTCATCAGCCGTGGGAACATCAAACCGGCGCAGTGTGAGGGGCCAGACGACCTGCACCTCTGGATCTGCGAGAAGGCAGCAGGGCCCAGCTCCCCGTTCATGTGACGAGAGCAGTGACACGGCCGGCTCACACCATGGTGCGCAAGGAAGGCAGCAAAGGGGAAAGATGGGGAAAACCCCGTCCCAGCCCCACTCAGCACATCCTTCCCTTTCAGCGCCCGCATCCTCTCTGCTTCAGCTTTCACGCAGCACATGAGCCCAAGGATGGAGCTACCGCCGGAGTTGGCATTTGGGTGTTATTACTGATTAGAGTAGAGCAGTGACCTTTAGGATGGCACTGTGTGACCATGCACTTCCAAAGCAGCGTCCTGCGCCAGACATTTTGCAAGACAAATCATTGGGAATTTAAATAGCTGCCACGCACGTGCAGAATAGCCCCGGTTTATGTTCAGCCTGGCGAGAGCAGAGGAAGTTGTGTTCTATTACGGGGTTGCGCGTTCCATATTTAGTTGATTAATTGGTATGTAAATCTCTTTGCTTGAAGAGCACAAGGCTGTTAAAGGCATTTTAGAGGTGCACGTGTTGCTCCACGTTGTCCGCTGGCTGACCCCATATTGCAGCAAATAAACAGACAAAGCTTGTCTGCTGCTTGCTTTCTTCTTTACTGCTAAGACAAAGACTCCACAATGCAAATCCAATGATCACAGAATCACAGAATCATTAAGGATGGAAAAGACCACTAAGATCATTTCACACAAATGTCAGCCCATCCCACCATGCCCACTGAACGTGTCAAAAAACTACCATACCGTAAATTGGAACTGCCCAAACTACAAACCATTATTTCTCTGAAGCTAACAACTGAGTTGGCCACTTCGGTGACACTGAACCAAAGCTGCCCCAATGGGGCACAGTCAGATCAAGTCCCTGTCACCCCCAGGCCAGGGCTCCCCATCCCGCTCAATGTGTACCCCAAGAGACACAAGCATCAGCCCAACTTGCTGGGACATTCAGTTTTTATTGAACACCTTAAATAAGCTGGTTATATATTACTAGCTATTATCATTATTAATAATAAAAAAAAGAAACACAACAGTTCTGCATTCACCAGTGCGTTGTGCGGGAGGGAGGAAAGCCGGCTCCCACTCCTGTCCCTCCCTTATCCCCTGGCCACTCAAGAGATGCTGGGGGCTGCAGGGTGCCCTCAGCTTGGGGTGAGCAATGTGGATGAGTCCCTGGTGCTAGGCAGGACAGCACACATTCGCTGGGGGCTCAGTGCCCAAAGACCCCCAGTGCTGGCCCCTGCCCGGACACCTGTATACCACGGTGTTTCATTGTGTCAGGGACCAGGTGGGTGTCCTACACTTGCAGGGTGGCAGCTGGGACCCCCACTGCTCACATACACTGCTTCACACCCCCTGATCAGCCCTGCTTGTCCTCAGTCCGAGGAGCTGTGAGAGCCCACTGAAGGCTAGCCCATGGGGACAGGGGAGTCCCACAGGCTTCAGACCTGCGGGGAACTGACCCTGCTGCCTGGAGCAGCAGTGTTATTGCACTTCAGCCGCCCAGGCAGTAAGGGCTTCCATGTGCTGAGTGAGCTGTGATGGAGCGGGGGGCACCCCAGGCTCCCAGCGGGGTCCCCACCACTAGGACTGTGCCTCAGGCAGCTTCAGGCCAGGCTCCGCTGACCCCTGGGCTTTCTGGAGGCGGTCGTGGCAGAGGAGGCTCTTGGCCTCGCAGTTGAGGTTCTGGTAGCGGGGTGGGCTGGGTGCTGGCCGGTGACAAACAGAGGTGAAGCTGAAGGGCCCCAAGCAGCAGCTAGGGCAGGGCAGCACCTCGTCCTGCTCCAGCACCATGCTGGAGCCATGCCCAGGCAGCATGGCCGCACACTCCGTCCGCTCCAGCGCCGCTGCCGCGCAGGGGATGCTGAGCTCAGAAAAGCCATCCTCCAGCCCGCTGCCCCAGGACAGCGGCTTGCTGACTGCTGCAGGGTGGTGACTGTTGAGGAGCTGCCCATTGAGTGGCTCCTGCTGCCACGGATTGCTTCCCGAGGCCAAGGTGCGGATGAAGGTGCCACTAGTGGATGCAGGAGTGCGGAGCTGCGGTGGCGGCTCAGGGTGGTGGGGAGCGCAGCCTCTCCGCTCCTCCACCGTGGGGCTGGATGGGATTCTCGGCTCTCCGCTGTCCCAGCGGCACTGCTTAGGGGCAGGGGGCCGGGAGGGGGACCTCACGCCCAGCGCCAGGCCCCCCCGGTGGGGCAGCTCGGGGGAGGCAGGCAGCGAGTGGCACTTGCGGGATGGGGTGGTGGGTGCTGAGAAGTCACACTGCACCTCCACGGCTGGCTCAGGAGTGATGGGGGTGGCAAGCTGCAGTGGGTTTGGAGGGGGCAGGTCAAATGTGAGTGAGATGACCGACTTGCTGGGGATGTCAAAGAGCTTGATCTTGCCCCCCTTCAGGTCCTCACGCTGGGAGAAGGGGTTGACACGCGCTGGTGTCTCCTTGGTCCTGGCCTCACTGCAGGGCTCTGAGATGGATGATTTGGGGGGGAAGACGTCAGAGTGGCTGCGGGACAGGTGCTGATCCGGCTGCAGGTGCTGTGTTCCCAGCTCACGCAGCGGGGACTGCTCAGCGCGGCCAGCCGCCCTCATGGCCACTCCTGGGTTGGGGCACAGGAGGGAGTTACCAGTGGAATGTGGGGACTATGTGGGCAGAGGGCAATGGGGTGCTGTCCCACAGATCCTCTCCCCCAAAATGATGGGCAACACACACTCCTGGGACACTCACATACCATTGAATGTGGACACTGTGCTGGGTGCAGGCACGCTGTCCCCAGTGCAGAAGAGGGTGGTCCTGGCACCCTCAGTGCCCAGCTGGTGCTGCAGGACACCCTCCAGGCACTGCGTGATTTCCAGGAAGGAGGGACGAGAAGTGGGCTCCATCTGTAGGAAGGAGGAGACCCTGGTGAGGTTGGTGCCCCTCCAGCCCTCTGGGGCAGCTCCCACCCCAGGCAAGGAATGGGAAGCTAGGATGAGGGCATCACGATGCAAGGGCTCACGCTGCAGCAGTGAAACGCCAGCTGGAGAAAGGCTGTAGGGCAGTCGTTTCCCACCATGGTGCGGAAAGTGGTGACGTCCAGGCCAAAATCCTGCTCCAGGGAGACAAGGAAGAGTGAGGCTGGGTGCCAGCACTGGGCTGGGTGCAGCAAAAGGGGACCCTGGAGCAACCCTCAGTGGGGACAAGGTCACCTTTCACATTTCAGGTGACACATTACCAGCCCTGGTCTTGCCATGCCCAGCCTCTGCTTCCCATCCCATTGAGTTACCTCAGTGCGAGGCAGGTAGTCAGGGTCAGCGGGGACACGAGCAATGGTCTCACACAGGATGATGCCATAGGCGAACACATCAGCCTGCAGAAAGCAGGGAGTTGCAGGGGGCTGCAGCCTGAAGCCATGTAGCAAGCCCTCCCCTCCAGCCCCCCTAGGATGCCCTCTCCCTCTCCCTTCGCATGCCCAGGTGGTCCCATGCAGCGTCACCTTCTCATTGTAGATCTCCCCACGTAGAACCTCAGGTGCCATCCAGTAGGGAGAGCCCACCACGGCCAGTGGCTCCTTCTCGCTGCCCTCACTGGGGACACAGTGGCATGTCAGGGTCCCACTTCCCCAGATCCCCTTCTCCCTGTGCCAACCCTCCTCCATGCACCCCATGTCCCAGCTCACCCACCACCAGGTCACCAACACCATTCCCTTCTCCACTCCTCCTGGACATTCCTGAACATATCCATCCCCCATCAGTCCTCCCACCAGGGATCACCCCACCACCCCCATCCCCACAAAAACATCCATTGCTCTCCTGCTCCCATCCCAAGCGAGCTGGAATCTCTTGCTTGGAGGATGGGGATGGACAGACAGACCTGTAGGTGGGGATCTTCTCTGCCAAGCCGAAGTCACCCACCACAGCCGTGTAGCCATTGGCCTCACAGCGCACCAGGCAGTTCTGGGGGCACAGCAGGACCTCCTGTCAGCCCCCACCTTAACACCACCACTCCTGGGATGCGTGTAAGGGAAACTCATGGCATCAGGATGCCCCATACCTTGGAGGTGAGGTCACGGTGGAAGATGCCTTTGGAGTGCAGGTAGCGCAGGCCACGGGCGATGTCGAGTGCCAGCTTGACACGCGTGGACCAGGAGAGGGGCACGGGGCTGTCCAGCAGCTGCTCCAGGTTCCCACCATTGATGTACTGGTGGGAAGAGCCATTGCCTTGCTGCACCCCGCTCCATCCTACCACGCTGCTGGGTCCCCAGATCTCTTCCCATAGCTCCCCCAGCCACACACCAAGTGCCCTTATGGTCACTAACACCCTCTCCCTGGCCCCATGACCACCATCCCTCTCTCACCTCCGTCAGTGCGTGCAGCTGCCCCTGGTGCACACACACCCCCATGAACCTGCAAGAAGAGAGGAGCTGAGCATGACCTGGGAGGATCCAGCCCCAGGAGCTCACCCAGCCCCACAGCAGCCCCAAGTCCCAGGGAATGGGACGAACCTGAGGATGTTAGGGTGTGAGAGGCGGTTCATTAGCTGCACCTCCCGCAGCATGTTGCCCCGGTTGCTGGTCAGTTTGTTCATCTTCAGCACCATGATCTGCCCGGATTGGCGGTGCCGCACCTGCAGTGGGTGCAGGGGGAGCTCAGCTCTGGGGGTCCCCACACCCCAGGTATGGGGCATCCCAGGGTTAGCGGGGAGCTCTTTGAGCAAAGCAACACCCCAAGAACCCTCATGCTCATGACACACAACCTAAGATCCCTGGAGCACCCCACATGCTGTTCACCCCCTCTACACGCCCAGACCCCCAGAATCACTGTGACAGCCCAGTCCCAAGAGCGCAGGAATGGATCACAGCATGGACTATGCAGCCAGGCCCCATAGCAAGGGGTTGAGGACAGAGGGAACACACGCTTTCCCAAGCAGCCCTGGGGGCACGGTACTTGGATGATGCTGTATATTTAGCCAGCCCAAGGCTGTCACATGAGCTGTGGGCTGGCGCCCTGCCAGCAACAGCAACCAGGAAAGTGGCCAAACATGGACACCCCTGGCCCACCATGGTCCCCAGCATGTGTGGGGTGAAGGCACAAGCATAGGGTCCCCTGTCCCAGTGTCAAGAAGATGGCACAAAGGGTCCCCTAAGCTGTCACAGGAGGAAGGACAGGATCCACAGCAGCTGCCTGGGGGGGCACTCGCTCAGCCCCAGCTGCACCCCAGCACACATGGAGGCACGGGCATTCCTCAGCGCTTCCGTCAGCTTGCTGCTCTTCTCCTTTTTAGTCGATGCTGCTTGAAGCTGCTGTGCTGGGCCCTCCCCACGTGCCCCCCCTCCCCAAACCTAGGGCAAACCACATGTGGCCCTCGCACATCAGCTGAGGCTCCCTGCATGCAAATAGCACCTCCCACTGAAGGGCCTGGAGGGGAATTAGGAATTAATAAGGACCCCTCTCTATTAATCCCTGCCTGGGTGCACTGAGGCCAAACCAGCCTTGGGCAGGGTTGGAGCAAGTAGCAGCACAGCCTGGCTCATGGAGGGGCTCTGAATAATTCAGCAGCAGCTGCCACCCCACTCTGGTTACATCGCATCACCTCCTTGCCAGCCTGCGGAGACCTCCACCCTTTGCACAAGGGAGGACAGTGTGCCCCAAAATCCTCACTGAGTACCAGATCTGGTGCCTGTGCCCAGAAGGAGCCTGTCCCCATTCCATCTGCAGTCCCACAACTGTTGAGCGCCAAGCTGAGCCGGCAGCGCTGCCCTCCCACACATCACATCACAGGGCTGGTGGGACTGGATGGGTCAGTCCTGGCGTGGCACTGGCTGTTCTCAGGCGCCAGCAGCTGGCTCAGCCCCATGGGTGCTATGCAAATGCCTGGTAGCAGTAACATGTGCCATGGCACGGCTGCCCACCATGGGAATGATCAGATCCAAGCCAGCATCACTGAACAATCTTCTAGTGGGTGCTGGATGGGATCATGTAGCCAGGATGTGCCCATGGCCCAGTTCTTTGGTCATTAACCTCCTGACACGGTGATAGGCTGAGTCAGGTCTGAGTGCACTGTATGGTGTTAATGCCACAATCCTGGAAGATCCTGGGGGAGGGGGAAGAAAGGAAGACCCTGCTGTGAAATTTCCTGCTAGGACCACAGTCAGTCTCCAAGCAGCACAATCTTCTCCCAGTGCCCCCTCCCCACCTTGGCCAGGCTGTGGCACCATTCCAGCAAGCTGGATGTCCTCAGGAAGCAGTGGTGGCTCTCAAGCATAGCAAGCCACAACACCATGTGACTCGCATGTTTGTTTTGCGGGGGTTTCTATCCTCCCCCTGACATCGGCAGAAGAAGGCAGCGGGCAGCAGAGCCTCCCCTGGCAGCACGGGTCCCCTCTCGCCTCTCCACGTGCTGGCCCTGTGCCCAGGAATCCCAGCAACATTCCCTAGAGCTGAGCTCAGTCGAGTGCTGGGGGAGGCAGCAGCCTGTTGGCCCCCAGGCGGCAGCCAGCACTCACCCCCTGCCTAAGCCCCCCAGCACCTCCCAGAACCCCCCATACCCCCCCCCCCATCCCACCTGCGGCACTGCATCCCCACGGCCCCATCCCATCTGTTGTCATGAGGGCTGGGGGAAGGGACGGGGCTGGCTGCAGCCCCAGCCTGGGCACAAGGGACCTGAGCTCTTTTAACAGCGGAAATTAGAGTCTTATTTAAAGAGCATGCTAATCAGAGTGAGCAGACGGCCCTGCAGCCTGTGCTCCTGGAGAGATGCAGGGCAGAACCCACACCTGGGGGTGCCACACCTTGAGCAAAGCCTGGGTGCCTTTCTCGTCCCCTCATCCCTGTGTCTCCATGAGGATGGGCAGAGGGGTGCAGGTCAAGGAGCAAATGCCACAGGCAACTCTTACAGCTGCACCTGAGCTCGTGGGGATCCTAGCAGTGCAACAGGTCTCACAGTGGGCAGGACTGGAAAAGCTGCTCCCTGTGCAGAAAAGGCAGACCCTACAAGAAAGGTTTCCTCTGGGAAGCACAGGAACAGGAAGCTCAATCAGGCCGCTCACAATGAGAACCTGAGCATCAGCAACGCTCACCCGCCTGGGTTTGTTTCCCCATTGGTGCCACCCTTGTCACTGCTCCACCTGGCTTTGTGGAACGAGATGTGGTCTGCCAACGAAGGGCACCAGATAAGAGTTGTATCATTCATGAGCTGTATTGGTCATTTTCGAATAAGTAGGAAACCTCAAAGGTCAGCAGGGAAACCAGCTGAGATGGGTAGGGGGCACCTGAGCAAGGGCTGCCCCCCATAGCTATGGGGCTGTGCACACTGGGGAGCTGCATCCTGGAGACAGCAACTCTGGAGGATGGCATGTTTGTGTAAAGCCCCAGGGGAAGGCAGGGTGCTGCACGGACGGATGCGAGAAGAGATGCAACAGCAGGTTATGGGCTGGAGAAAATGTCTGGCACGAACACAGCCAGCTCAATCTGCTCTGTCTATCAGTGAGATGGAGAGGCGGCTCGCTGCAATGCCTGCGCGGCCGAGGAAGCAGGTGGGCCTCTGGAATCACACTGAGAACCAGCTGCTGCCGGGAGCAGCAAGGGCCAGCTCCATGGGGGCACCGCTGGGAACACCCTGGGACAGCCGCAATGGCTCGGCCAGAGGTGGGCAGGGAAACGCCATCAGATGGCTGTGCTGCGCCAGCACCCCGGGACCAAGCCACCTGGTTAAGGACACTGAGGTGTGGGCCCCTCCTCATTCCCACGCCCACCAGGGATGGAATGAAGCAGGGCCAAGCAGGCGGCTGCAAATGCCCACAGCTGTGAAAAACACTGTGGGGTGGAGGGAGGTGGGTGGAACGTGACCCTGTGCTTCATCCTCCTTGCAAGATCAGGGCACCATCACCCTGCCAAGCCCCACTGTGCTCAATGCCTGGCCTCAACTCTCTGTACCTGCACAAAGCCCAACCTGAAACCTCCTGTTCTGGCTGCTGTGGTTCTATCCAGCTCCCACCCCTGCATCCTCTGCTCCCGCAAATTCTTTGCGGACACTGTGAGTATAGTGTGGGAGCAGAGACGATGAGCATGGAGAAACCATGGTCTGGCAGAGATCCGGGATCATCCATTATTAAATATCCTGGCTTTATTAAATGCCTCCTTCTGCTTCCAGGTGCTGCTGCGTGCTCACAGCCAAGGATCAATAGGAGGAACCTGGCCAGCTGTGAGGCCACGGCCCCAGACAAGTGGGAGGGATGGCCTTGGGAGCGTCCTCTCTGCATGGCCTCCACGGCCACACTGCAGAGCAGTGCTCAGGGGGGCTGCAGAAGAGGTGGGGGGATTCTGATCTAGCAAAGCTGTTATCAGAAAGGGCTGAAGCCATAATAAGTGTGATACAGAGCACGCTGAGCACAAAAACATGTGTACACACCTCTCCCTGGAGCGAACACAGCACGCAGCCCTTCGACGGGCTGGGAGTGAGTGCCATCACCACCGCCAAGACCCCCCACCAGCACACCTGGGCACGGCCACGCGTGACCGTCCCCACTCCAGCAACCTGCGCCCATCCCAATCCATGGGGACCTGTGGCACAAAGGCAGCCCCGCAGCACCGTCCCCTTCAGACGGACCCCACACACCCACCCGCCCCGCTCAGGATGCACGAGAAGGCGGCCGCACCTCCCGCCTCCGAACCGGCTCCGGGATCCCCCACCGTGGCTTTCCGACCCAACCCCCCTCGGCCACCACGCCGCCCGCCGGTGGCAGCGCTCCGGAGCTCCACGCCCGGCCTGGCTGTAAACACCGCTCCCCTCCCCCGGGGAACAACAGCAGCGCGGCCGCGGGGCTCTCCCGCAGCCACCGCCGGGCACCTCCTCGCTCTCAGGGGTCCCAGGCTTCCCACCACCCCGCCCCGCTGGTACCCGGACACCCAGTCCCGCCCTCCCCTCCCCCCCGAAGGGATGCTCGGCGGCCGCGCACACCTTGAACACCTCGGAGAAGAAGCCGGTGCCGATCTTCTCGCAGTAGAAATCGTCGATGCGCGCCAGGGTGGAGACGGCGCTGCGCAGCGCGCGGTACGAGGAGGGCCGCATCCTCCCGCAGCCCGGCCACGGCCCCGCCGCCTCTCCCGTCTCGCTCTCTTCGGGCCGCTCCCCTCGCAGCGCCGAGCCAGGCCTCCGCGGCAGCTTCTCCCGCTCCATGTCGGCCCCGCCGAGCAACCCCCGCGCCATTCACATCCCCGCGGGGTCACGGCCGGGCCGCTCCGCCCCGCCCGACCCGGCTCGGTTCCGCGACGAGCAGCGGCGGTGCGGGGGGGAGCGCAGTGCTCATGGCCCAGCGGAGTCCGCAGCCCCGACCCCCGCCCGGCCCGGAGCTGCGCCTCCGCCGCCCCGAGCGCTGGCACCGGCGGGGCGGAGCCTCGGCGGGGACAGCCCTTAACTCCTTGGCAGCCGCCGCCGCCGCCGGGCACAGAGACCCCTCCCGCGGTGCGGGGTTTCGACGTGTGGGGTCCGATGTCGCCGTCTGTCCGGCCCCTCGCCACGTGGAGTCGCGGGTGCTGGGCCCCCTACGAACAGCGCGGTGCGGATGGGCCCCGCCGAGGCTCCCGGATCTGCACACGGCTGTCCCAGCTCAGATGCGCGCTGTGTATCTGCCACTCCCTGCCCAGATGGTGTCTCTGTAACTGTGGGAAGTGCAGCCTCTTGGTGACAGCGAGCCCGCTTCTCTTTCCTCTCTTTCCGCGTCCCCCCACTTTCCTCCTCCATCCTGCTCCTTGCTGGTCCATCCATCCTTACTCCTGGGGCTCCCTGCAGTGAGGGCTCCCCGTCTTGCATCCTCATGCACCACACTAACTGCTATTCCCACTGAGAAAAGTAGCAGCGCAGGTTGTCTGTAGGCATGGTGCTTTTGGCCAGCGCCTGTCTCAGGGTTTCAGCTATCCCTTTCCATGGCAGCACCACTCCAGCCCGGTGCTTCCACTTGATGGGATGACAGGTGCTGTGCACCCAGAGGCAGCAGGACATATTCCTGGGCATCCTGGGCATTGCATCCTGATATCTTCATGCTCCTACCCTGCTGCTTCCAGCTCCCCTGTGCTGCTGAGAGATAAAAGTACAGCTAAAAATACAGCTGGGATCCAAGCAAACCTTGTGTCAGCCCTTCCATTGAGTGCACACGAGCAGCAGCCCCACCAGGATCAAGGCAGAGGTGGAGATTTGTAGTAAGGCATTTTACAGAGAGAAGCTCAGAACCACAGCCTGTTTCAGGCCCCTGCTGCTTACAAGTGGCTGAGTATACATTCAATTAAGCTGTAACGGATAAATGAAAGCCCTGGAGACAGCCCTGACTGTGGAAATTGCTGCTGCAGGATTTTCGGTCCCTTCTCTCACCAGCACTGGTAGCTGTGCCGTTCTACTTCCACACCACTCTGCTCCCGCCCAGCACAGCCATGAAGGTCCCCGGTGCCTTCAGCCCTCCCGCGGTGCCAGCAAGCCCAGCTACCTCGCTGGGCTGAGCAAACCCCAAATCGAGGCCCTCGAGCTCTGATAAGGAAGAACAGGGACAACCCACTTGGGACCTGCTCACTGCACAGAGCCCAGAGGACACGGGAGAAAGCGCCAGCTCCAGCCGTCTGTGCGCAGCCGGGTCGTGCCCAGCTGCACGAGCACAGGTGACGCAGCAGGACTACATTTCCCAGCGTGCTGCATGTCCCTCGGTGTGCGCAGGGCCCTGCACGCCCCGCACCCAGCAGACTGTGCGAGCTGCAGCAGCCTGCGCCCAGCTGGTTGGAGGCGCGGCGCTGCTGTGTTCTCTGGCACGCCAGCTGCAGGGCCGAATCAGCGGGGCTGCGTGCAAATATTTGTTGTGCTGTTAATTTTCTAGGAGCGGTGTCAGCACGGCACCTGGCAGTGTTCGCTCTCCCCCTCCTGTCACCTCCTGTTGATTCTGCATATTGGTACTGTGGCATTTGTAGAGGCGGCACCCGCATCCCAGCTCCGTCCCTTCGTGGTGGGCACTGATTTCAGTGTGTAGCCTATCTTGCCCCTGCTAGGAAGCGCAACGCTATGCCACGGGGCTGAGTAGGTGGCAGCTATGGTCATGCCCACACCACTTGTGTGTGACACACAACAAGGTGGCCTGTAGAGACAGGAGCCCAGCTACGTCCTCACAGTGATCCAGCAGGAGCAGTCAGCAGGAGCTAGTTGCCTTGTGCCGTTCAGGTAGGGGATGCACCACCATCTCCAGCATCCCTCTCTGCTCCTGAACTGCCCATCTCACAGTACCTGCCATGCTCCCTCTCTAGGTTTCTTACAGGCGACAGAGCTCCTTCTAGCTTTGGGCTACTGGCAGCTCATCCCAAGAGGCTGTGCTAGCTTTGCTCCATCTCCTGCCCTTCACCGGGCTGTTAGCAATGTTCCCCCTCACAGCACAGAATCCCTGAAGTGCTTGTGGTTCTGCAGATGTGAGCCAGGAGTGGGGATGCCAAGAGGCAGTGGGAGCAGAACCACATCAGAGCTGCCAGAGGGCCCAGGGGCCAGCTGCAGGGCAGCAGGGCTGGAAAGCTGGGTGGCTTTGGGGAAGAGCCTCCACCTGTGGTTTGTCTCTACCCTTTGGTCTGCATGGCTGCAGGACAGCAAAGCCATGCATAGCTCAGCACAGTGTCTGCCACAGCCCCTTCACAAACCCACCTGCACAGCCCACTACAAGAACAAATCAACATCCTTAGCCTTGTCTTGTCTTTCTTGCCTATCTCAGATCTGGTGGAAACATGGAAACAAGCAGTGCATCAGGCTGGAGAACCATTGCTCTGTGAGCTCTGAGATCTTGTCCAGAAAAGACACAAAATAAAAACTATTTACTAAGAGAAAAGGAAGAGACAAACCACAGTAATGATATCTAGGTTCATGTAAATATATATATTTATAAAAGAAGTGATACACAATGCATTATCTCACCACTTGCTGAAGGGTGTGTGGTGCTTACTGCTGCTGGGTTAAACCACAACACTCCCTGTGGCACCCACTGTGAGACCCAGAAGGCTGAGATGATGACAGATCTGACCAGAATGCATTAAAATATAATTGCTGTAGTAGCTCAAGAGCTGCTGGTCACAATGCTGATCTTGTTCATAATGTGGTTTTATTTGCTTTCAAGGTTGTTTTTCTTAACTCTATCCACATTGTTTATAATCTCTGAGGGCTGGTCTGGGCTTTTTTTACAGTTTGGACAGTTTGTATACTGTGTGTGCTCTTGTTGTATCAGTCATTTAATTTGGTGCTTGTACTCAATCACAGACTCCTAGAATTGCTAAGGTTGGAAAAGAACATTAAGGTCATCTAGTCCACCCTCAACCCAACCCCACCATGCCCACTAACCCATGTCCCTCAGTGCCACATCTCCACAGTTCCTGGACACTGCCAGGAGCAGTGACTCCCCCACCTCCCTAGGCAGCCTGTACATCACCACTCTTTCAGAGTGCATTTCAGATGTTTAAGAACAGTACTGAGAGGTCCAGCAACTCAAAGGGAATATAACTTCCTCCTCACCTGCACAGACCAGCCTCTCAGCTACCAGAAATAAGCATTTTTGAGCATTTTTGAGAGGATATGGTTGGTACACACTGTGTGCCACCCTGTGGTTTTACTTTGGTGGTGATGGAGAGGATATAAGGAAGTGAGATGAAAACCCACCACAACCCTACAGTCACAGGTACATGAGTTGCAAGGGAAAACAGTCGAGAAAGGAGGTTCTTCCAGAAACATGGTTGCTTCAGCTTTCAGCACAGTCTCCCAGACAGAGAAGATGGTCTGATCCTATTTCTGAGTTAAAGAACCAGCCTTTCATTTTGCATTCACAGGAATTGAGTGACAAAGAAATAATAGACGTAGAGGGGCCCTGCCTCCAGGCAGGTGGAGGGAAGGGATGATCAGGTTCATCAGACTGTGTGGATTCAATGGCCTGGCACGTCGCAACCACAGCAGGATAAGGCTGTGGTGGACACTAGTGTGCAATGTTCTCTAATATTATCAGATTACTAAGGGGCAGAACCCGTCTGTCTTTCTGGAGGGACAGGGGGATCCCAAGTGCCAGAAGCCAAAGTGAGCCTAACTGGGAAGGAGTGGTGAAAGCATCCTTTTGTGACTGGCCGTGAGGGTCCGTGCATCTCTGCTATAGACCACCTCAGCAGAGTGTACTTCATGGACACCAAAGGATATTGGGGGGCTTTTGGTATGGCTGCTTTGGAGATGGAGGACAGCTGTTTACCTTGCCTGGTCTCACAGAGGACCCTTCTGTTGTGGAGCTGCTAAGAGTAGAAGAACAGCAGGTGCCATTCGCTGCTCCAGCGAAACCCTGGTGGCAATATCACACCAACCAGGACTCCCTAATTCCTATTCATTCACTGATTTGCCAACTGGAGAACCAAAGAGTAACCAGAAAGACTTGCACCCTTCATAGTCCCATGCAGTTGGTGAGAAAGTCCAAAGGAGAGTGAAAGCTAAGAGTGGACGGTTATGGCCTGAATGAAGTCACAGCACTGCGAAGTGCTGCTGTGCCAGACATGAGAGAACTCCAATATCAAGTGGAGTCCAAAGCAGCCAAGTGGTACGCTGCAACTGAACTGCTAATATGTTTTTATCAATCCTTCTGGCAGCAGAGTGCAGGACACAGTTTGCTTGTCCTTGGAGGGGTGTCCAGTATGCCTGGAATTGACTGCTCCAGGGGCAGGAAGGGAGCATGAACCCACCATTTGCCATGGGCTGATTCAGACTACATGGAAACAGGAGGAAGTCCCTGTGTACGAGGACAGTGCCCAGGCCAGCAGCAGCAGCAAAACACAGCACTAAGAGAAGGGCAATGGGAGCAGCGCCGCCTGGAACTGGTGGCTCCAGTGCAGAGCTGGGCTTGAATCCTGCTGCACCTGCACACTCAAGCCCCATTTCCAGGCAGCACATCCCTTCCACCACAGCACAGTAATAAACTAGATGACAGTGGCCTACTTTCCATCCACCTGCGCCACAGCTGGATAGTCACTGTTTCCTACTGAGCCTTGGTCCTGATTGCTCCACCGCTGGATGAACTGGTCTCCTGGAGTAACAGGCAGGAGGACGTGGTGGTGAGCCAAGCGTGTCACCACCATCCAGCATCTGGGGTGCAGGTCACACCTGATGGTTCACAGCATGTCCTGGTCTGTGGGACATTCTGGAGCACCTGTGTGGGTACCCTGAGCCTTCATGAAAGACCTCTGCTGATA